CAAAGACCCCATCAGAAACAGAACTCAAGGAATAAACTGGGAATTCTGCAGTCACATGAACATATTGGAACACTTTCATACAAGGTTATCTCCATACAGAGCAACTCTATGAAAACTGGGAGTATCCAAGTGAGCATGGTAGGCTTTTTATGATCCTGCGGAACTCACCTTGCTTCGGTTCATCAAACCTCTTTCCTGTGCTTGGCCCTGGCTTAGGACGTGTGCTGAGCTGAGGAAATCCACAAAAGATCATGGATGCTCTTGCACAGCTCAGCAACCTTCCTCCACAGCACGGGCAGCACCAAAACCCCCTGCAAGTCATGTGTCCAGAAGGAGGACCCCATTTACACAGCATTTGTGTGGGCTTGATTCATGGTGGGTGTCCGCATGAATGCTCAGCACACTTGGCTCCAAGCTGGACTCAGGGCTGCAAGAAGGTGGGTCAGAGTCTGGGAAGTTGGGCTGAGAGAATCTGACAGACTTGCACCCCCAAAGGAGGTTCCCTACACACCCCAACCATAAGGTGTGCCACATTCACCTGTGAAGATCTTAGACCTCCTATGACCTTGGGAGTTGGAATCCAAGATGTGGAAACTCCCCCATCTCCTGGCAGCCATGCAAAAGGCAGTTTGACATATAATTATAATCTTACAACTCTTTAAATCTAATGTGATAACTCTTTTCTGCCAAAAAGAAAAAAGAAGGAGCAGAGGATAGATGTCATGAGGTTGTAACATGGCTACATGATGCTTTTCTGAATGCCTCTGATGCTTGAGTCATGGAACAGAACTCCTTGGAGTTATGGAATTAAGAATTAAGTTATGGAAGACAGTAAATCTCACATCACTCAGTGGCACTCAGAACAGTTCCCAACAGTGGACAAAAGCCAAATAACGCAACCCATAAGGAAGTCTTCCTGCACAAACCGCACTGGGGAGGAAGAGATGAATTGTGCCTCCAGGAGCACAAACAAGTAGAGGTGCATAGTATGCTATACCTGCTTCAACAAAATCTTTTGTCTGCCAGCATCCATCAGCTTTACACTTCCCTTATCAAGTTCACATGGCTCAAGAAGTGTGAATGCTGCAGAGGAGGAGGGATGTGACCACAGGCCAAGCTGAATGCAGCTGCTAAGGCAAGACTGCCTGTTTATCGCTGCAATCAAAGGCAGGCGGCAAGTTAGGCACTAACACTGATTGGGGTGAACACCACAGATACAGCCATGCAGCACTGATGGCTCTCCACTACCCCTCAGGATCCCTGAGAATACATCGTTCTGTTCTGAACATGGATTGACCCTGACAGTGACATGAAATGACTGAGATACATAAAATTGGATGGGTTCCCATCTTCCTGCTGTGCAGCACAAATTCTCTGCCACAAACACCCCGTGGACTAGCTAAACTAGTGTGTGCCACAAGTCAAGAACAAAATCACATAGACAGGTGCTTGCGGAATCAATAGCTCTATACGCCCCACAGCTTAGAAACCTATAGAAAAAAGATCAGTCTACAAAAACATTTAGTAGTTCCATTCTTTACACATCAAAAAGGCCTGGAGTTTTTTTCTTACTTGCCATGAGTGAATATACACTGCTGTCACATATCTAGTTGGACTAGAGATCCATCTATCTTCCTACTGCTTTTTCTTACTCTAGGGACTCAGCAGGTTGGGATCATTTCAACTTGGCTATTTGAGATCCTTTTTAACTGAAGATGGCCGAATTGGTTCCCAATTGTTGCTTAGCTACAGGAAAAAGATCACTCTACATTAGCTCTGGAGATACAGAAATCCATTTATATTACTTAGAATTATAGAATACTAGAGTTGGAAGGCGCCATGAAGGCCATCGAGTCCAACCCCCTGCTGTTGCAGGGCACCAATTTACACCATCCCACTCAGAGGGCTGCCCTGTTTCTTCTTGAATGTCTCTAGTGTGGGAGAGCCCATCACCTCTCTAGGCAACTGGTTCCACTGTCTTATTTCTCTGACAGTGAGGAAACTTCTCCTGATATCTAGCCTGAATCTGGGTTGTCGCAGCTTGAATTGATTACTCCGTGTCCTGCACTCTGGTATTAATGAGAAGAGACCTTGACTTTCCTCTTTCTGACAGCCTTTGAGGTACTTATATAGTGATACCATGTCCCCCCTCAGTCTTCTCTTCTCAAGGCTGAACATGCCCATTTCTCTCAGTCTCTTGTCAGTTCCCACATCTTCACATCAGCAATCTCTCTATTTCTCTTACTCTCACTGGATGGCTGGTCAGGGGCCATAGATGTTCATCCTTCTTCAGTCAAGGCTAAAGTCACCAAATGTTATAGATGATAGACAGGAATTCATGCCTTGACTTTATGGATAGTCTTCTTCTACCTCCACAAGCCTTTCCTTCTTGTCTTCCGCTCTCAACCTTTCTTCTCTATCCTGTATTTAAAGCTAACAGAACCAAAGTTTCTGGTTCCCTTTCATCCCAAGAACGCTCATAATCAATGTTCTTGGCTCGAAAACATGCTTATGCATCTTCTCAAGAAATGCTGAGCTTATCCTTCCACCAAACAAAAACCAAGTTTTGCAACGAGCCATTCCTAACCTAATAGATGCTATTACCTGTATATAACCCGATACTCTGACTCTTTAGGTGTTAAGTGCCTATATTAGAAAATAACAGTTTACCTACATCGTGGAACCACTACAGATAGCAGGAAGAGGATGCTGGAATGCTCTTCCATACAGTAATTTGAAAGAATTGCCACACATTAAAAATGTTAGGGAGAGACAGATGAGAGGAATTATCTTTAACATCTAGATTTCTAGAGGTACAGAGCTTTTTTGGCTCACAGGGCATTCCATCATGTGAGCTCTGTTCTGAAGTCTGAAGTGGTATAGTCCAGGCAAAAAAATTGTCACCTCATCCAGAGTTTGCAAGAAAAACACCCATGATCGTATTTGCTCCTTTTACTTACAGGACAAGGTCAGTAAGCCACAGGCATCCTCTCAAATACATTCATGTTTCAGATTGCGTCGATGCATCAAGTGACCCAAGAGTCCCCCCTGTTTTAGTTCTGCACTACTGAAATGATTCAATCTTATTAGTATATGGAAAATGCTTTCAGATATTTGCATACTGTTACTTTTAGGCCACAGAAACAGGTTTGCCAGTTTTAAAAGGGAACTTGCGAACTACTTCATACTTTACGTTTCTTAGACATACTACACCTAAAATGGTTAAGGATGAGTCTGACAAACACACACATGGTACAGTCAGGAACATGGGTTTTGCTGTCAAAAATACACTCACTGGCTAACTTGGGTTTGCTACTGTGTGATGTGTGAATTAACACTGGAGAACTTAAGACTTAAATATCAGGTTAAATTTAGCCTGATTGTCCATATTCAGATTTTCCACCCTCCTGTTTCTTATTTTAAAGAGAAATGGAAAATTTATTTCAGAAGAAAAATAAGGCACACTATTATAACAATAAATCTGGGAATATTGTAGTAAGCTTTGAAAAAAAAAGATTAAGGGCAGGAGGAAGATGTTGGAGAGTGTTGAAATCTCAGAATTGCATCAGCACAAGAGTGGGACTATAAAAGGGGGAAAGGAAAGAAAAGAAAAGAAAAAAATAAAAGAAAGGATGGCTCTCTCCCTACCATCCTACATATTACCACATTTTAAAAGCAGGCTTAGCAAAAAAAGAAAAAAGAAAAAAAAGACCAAAAACAATAACTTTACCTATACTCCTCTTTTCCAAGGATACATTATCAAATGTTTCTGATTCTCTTAGATTGGGTGTGGTTTAGCACTCAGGTTTTTGAGAGTTTGGGATTCTGATTTCACTTTCTGAATCAGCTAGGACTTTCCTAAAAATGTTACGAGAGTCATAATCTCTGCCTCAGACTGGGGTCACAGAATCACAGAACTGGGACGGGGAGAGAAGGTCATTTAATACCTCTGAATTTTCAGACAACATGGCCTGTAGTGCAGGTGCAAATACAATCATAGAATCATAGGATATTGGAGCTGGAAGGGGCCATGAAGGCCACTGGGTCCAAACTTCTGCTGTTGCAGGACACCAAGTTGCACTGTCCCACTCAGATGGCCGGCTAGTTTCACCTTGAATGTCTCCAGTGTGAGAGAGCCCACCACCTCTCTAGGCAGCCAGTTCCACTGCCGTATTGCTCTGACAGTGAGCGAAACGCCCCCTGATATCTAGCCTGAATCTGGGTTGTCCCAAATGTGATCATCCCTGCTGATCTATGTTCATTTAATTGGCTGTGAGCAGACCATATGGGCCTACAAAACACACCTGGGACCTTATGTCTTCTGCAGAGTCTCAGATAATGTGTACAGGTTGTTCATATGTTTTTCTCCAGGTCAACTGGATATGCATAGGTGAAGGGTGAAGTTAGCAGGAAGCTCCCCATACATACTGTGTTATCTGAAATGGGCTTCGGTCTACTAAAAGGGTTAGGGTACCCTCAAGATAACATCTTTCTTACAAAACACACCCTGATAAGTGGTCACAAGGTGATAGCTGCAAAAATTTGGCAACTGGTACCTGTGAATTAGAGCACCAATATCCAGTAATGACTGGATTACTGGATTCGCTCATTAGCAGGAGATCAAACAACCCTAGATCTCTTCATTGGAATAAAACTTTTCTTTAAAGTATCTTGGGAATAAACAAGGAGCGTGGTGGAAATGCAAAATATGGCATCATTGGCAGAAATCCCAAAATGCACATGGGGCACCCACTGGCTGTAATGGCAAAACAAGAGAGTAAAGTGCAGAAGGACCAGTGTTAAAGCAAAACAGCCATTCATCCATCACTCTCCCCACCCTCCGTTTTCTCTTCATATTCTATTGAGCTGTAACATCTGTCTGTTTCTGGTGGGATCTACATAGAAACTGTATTTTTTCCATCAATGCTGATAAAATTTGCAGCTGGCATAAAAAAGAAAAACAAACAAACAACAAACAATATTGCAATACTGAGACAATCTTAGAGCTTAAGACTATTTTAAAAAATACTGGCACAAAATTTAATAAAATAACATTTTGTTTTACAAATTTTCTTTTTTAAAAAATTGGTCCCACCTGACGATTATGCTAAATCTGTCTTTTCAGATGCAAAGTGACCTGGGACCACAGTTCTTGGCTTTTTCCCTGTAAAACAGGACGTTCTGCTCCCTAAAACCATTCTCCACTAAAAGCAACAGAATAATGGAGCCTTGCAAGCACCCTGATAAGCTCGTGGATTGTCAGTTTGTGGCAGTGGGTGGGGAGGGGATCCTTAATACAGTCATTAAAGAATTGTAATAGGGTGGTTAACTTTTAAGCTCTTTTTCCCTGACTTTTAAAATATCAACCCAAGCTAAAATTCTCCAAGAACATTCAAACGCAAAAGCTTTTCTTTTCTTCTCCTCCCAACCAACATATGTCACAGTTTTATCTAAAAGCTTAATGTTCCACCCTTTTACAACCAATGCAAATTTAAGTTTCATTTTTCAAAAGGGAAACCATGACAGTGGGGGGGGGGGAATGAAAGAAAGGGTAACCAAGTCCAATGAAATTTCTACATGGATGCACTGGGCCTTCTGCCACGTTTTCCATTCTGGGTTGCTGGTTCCATTCACTCGTCAGCATCTGGCTTCACATCCAACATGGCATGGAGCTCTTCAGGTGTGTAGCCCAGCAAACTCTGCAGGTCACATACAAAACGGTAGACATAGCGCTTCCCTGCTGTCTTATGGATGATATTCTTGTCATAGTAGTAACGCAATCCACGGCTCAGCTTCTCATAGTTCATTTTTGGCTTATTTTTCCTCTTGCCCCATCTCCTTGCCACCTGAGAACATCAAGCCGACAAATTTATTATCATCAGTGGTGTGTAACTTGGATCAAGGAGTGCAGAATCCTATCGGCTGTGCCCGTGGTGGCTTGAAGCCCCTGAACTCAGAGGCTCCTGATCATCCAGTACAGGGTGGCGAAAGTGGCAGAGGCTCTCTTTCCCTTGCAGTCCCCACACCATGCATTCTTTGCTACATGGGTTTTCTAGTGACAACATTTGCTCTGACAGATCAGATTGGAAGGATATCCCAGGGGATAGACGTGGTTATAATCAGAGAGTTCAACCTCCCTGATGTTAGCTGGGAGATGCACTCAGTGGCATAGCGAGGTCCCATTGCTTCCTAGAAGCTATGGGGGGAGGGTTTTTGACCCAGAGGGAACAGGAGGCACCCAAGTGGGGAAACATCCTAGACTTGGTTTTGGCCAACAGAGGAGACCTGGTGGAAGATGTGCAGACTAGAATTACTCTGGATGCAAGTGACCATTCGATCCTATGCTTCAAGATCAGAAGAACAGGGATGAGCAGTGGGTCAAATACTGGGAGGTGGGACTTTACAAGGGCCAACTTTGGTCAGTTGAAGGCCAGGCTAGGAGAAGTCTCCTGGGAGGGGGTGCTGGAAGGCCAGGGAGTTCAGGAGGGAGGACTCAGAGGCACAAGCCTTAATGATACCACTGATTAGCAAAGCAAGGAGGCATATGAATACCACCATGGATGAGAAGAGCGGTGGTAAGAGGGATTAGGAGAAAAAGGGTCTCCACAGGGAATGGACAACGGGGCAAGTGGCTGAAAGGGTCTACCAGGAAGAGGTGGCTTGATGCAGAAGGACTAGGTGACATAGGCGCAGGATGGGGGACAGGTGGCTGGAGATCTTGGGGTACTTGTTGATAGCAGGTTAAACATGAGCCAGTCGTGTGACATGGCAGGGATGTCCCATGGCAGGACATCACGACCTGTTCTCCCCTGCAGTGGGGGAGAGGATGCGGCCCAATGAGGCAAACCTCAAGGAAGGGATTTCAGGTTGGATGTCGGCAGGGGGAACTCCCCAGTACCTCATGGCGATGTCTAGGGGACATGGGATTGCTCCCTTGCTCCTTTGTTCATCACTAGGCTGTGTGTACACACTTCCTTATATGCTAATAAAAGGGGGAGATGGATACAAGCCTCCTTAAGACGATGCATACCTCATCAGGATCGGACAGCTTGAATTCCCAGCCATCACCTGTCCAGCTGATAAAGGACTGGCAGGACTTGTCTGTGAGAAGTTCAAGCAGGAATTGCCACAGTTGAATGGGTCCACTACCTGGGTCAGCAAAGGAAAGGGGAAGGAAAAAAACATGCACGTACACATTAAAAATGGAATGCAAAATGGAGTGGCGTGTGTACAAGACCTCATAAAAACAGGCACACTTAAATGTTGGCTGAATAAGGAACTTCTAATACTCCTATATTATCTATCTACTGACCTAACAATACTAATCCAGAAACCTCAATTTGCCATTCTTAAGTAAGATCCAGCTTCAGTCATACCTAGAGAAGATCCACCAAAAATACTGGGAATCAAGTTGTTGTGAATAACTTAAGTCACATTAACTTCAATACAGGTACTCAAAGTATGACTCAGGATCCAGCCTTGGAAATATGCTTGCAAAAGGAAGAAGCTCACTTTTAATTAGGAAGCAGGGATCACCTAAAATGAAGGAATACCTGTCAGGGCTCACACCTACCTATCAGGAATGCTAGGAACTTTACAAGCCATTACTAGAACTCAGGCTAGTAGTAGGGATGTTGGAGAAATCCACAGCAGATTCAAATGAATTTGGATTTCCACAAATCTAGTGCCAGATTTTTCAGCCCAATGGCTTCTTCTGAGTAGTGCAGATTCTGCTGATGTGCTGATCTGCCTCTCCTCTCCTCTCCTCTCCTCTCCTCTCCTCTTTCTGGAACTGCATGCAATTTTAGTCATACAAAAATGAAATATCAACAACCACCAATAATGTACATATTCCTCTACACTACAGGCTAAAATGTGGAAATGTAGATGGAGGGTACGAGGGCAGCATTTGTTCATTTTTCAATTTTCCCCATTTGGGGGGAAATTCACATAATCTAAAGCATACTACCACTAATGCATGTTTGTACAATTTGGCCCTTATGCAAGATAAATGTGGATTAGCACTTTTGCACAACTCTGTACAACTCTTTGTTTTTCTGTTTGTTTGTTTTTTAAGTCCGATTCTGGAAATGAGCAGCTGATGGAATAAAATGTGCCAGACAATCCACAGAGCTACTTGTTGATTAGAACTAATTTAACAAAATCCATACAATCCTAATTAATCAATTAGGGTGCTCTGGTCTTGGAGTACTTTTCAGGAATAAAAATGAATAGGTTGTGGGACATCAACATCAGATCCTGCCATTGGCAGTCTGTATAAAGCTTGTAGATTGCCTGAAATTTGGATTTCAGTTCTGCACCAGACAACAGAGCTGTAGTTCAGACTCCGGTTTACATTCTACTTCAACTGCTTAGTAGTAGTACCAGAAATGGACAGCAGGGACCAGGGCTAAGTTGATGTTATGGGCACACAGCAAGGCAACATTTGCTGGCCCTGCTTTGTAGGATTGCCACTGCCTCTGGCAACAATAAACATTCCTCCTCTTCTCCCCATCGAGGAATGATTGCCCTTCCCTCCCTCACTCCTTTTTGCCCCTCCCTCATCCATGGGAGGGGGTCCAATGCTTGCAATATTTCTGTTATTGCTGTCACCCAAATACATCTAGCAGATGGTAGGTGCTGTTGCTAGCTGAGTCAGAATTTAATGATGCATCTTCCTAAAGTTCTAAGGCTTCCACTGCTGCTTAATAATGCTAAGCCTAGAAGGCTAAGCCTGAAACATCCCACCCAGACCCTGAGAACAGCCCAGAATCATGGCCCCTGGGCCATGCTCTCAACAGGAGTGATTTTAATAGTGTCTGCACAAAAGATTGAGAAAAGTGTGCCCTGAATATCTAAAGCTGCAACTGACCCTCTAGGAGTCCCTAGAAGACCAGGTCACCATCTGCTGTCCTAATGCCCTTTCCTCCAAATACTTCTCTTTTGTGGTTTCCCTACAATTGTGCTGTCTTCTCCCACTTCTCCAAAAACTGGAAATATCTCTCCTAAGATTCAGCTGCTGGCAGAAGAGCTGTAAGCTAAACTACACTCTTATCTGGGCCCAGCCTTTTGCCCTTGGCCCCACTCAGCACTGGAATGAAGCTTTTGAGGGTTCTTCAGAAGAGAATGAACACATCAAGCTGAAAGAGCTTTCCCGCATCTGCTGGAAAACTTGCAGAGGGTTTAAACACTGGGGGTAGTCTCTACACAAGAGAGATATTAACAAACTGAAGGCCTAACAGGGTATCATAAGAGAAACAAGAAAGGTCACATGGCAGGACATCACTGCATAATGCATCGCCAACCAATGAGGTGAGGCAAGTGCTGGGGGGATGCAAACCATGCTGACATCTCACTGCAGGTCTCTTATGCACCCCACTTTGGCCCCAGGAAGCCAAGGGTTATGTGTCGCTACTGGTGCTGAAGATCAATGGATGTTTTAGAAGGAACTACTCAGCCCTAGTCCCTGGTTACCTAAACAGGATTGCATTTTGGCAGTTGTGCAGGAGGTGGAGTCACTCCCCTGACACAAGAGCCTCATTCCTTGCCAAAAGATTCTTGGCCACGACTTGACCTCAAGCACGCTCCTACCCCCGCGTCTTGCCTGCCGCCTCCCCTGACCTTGACTTTTTGTTCCCTGGCTGTGTTTACTGAGATGAGATAAAAAAGGAGGCAGGTATGAAAATTATTTGGCCACCTTCCAGGGCATGTTGATGCAAGAACAAGCTACACAGTCTTGTTGAGAATGAAACCTTGGAGCCAGTGAGTCAACTCGGTGGCTATTAATGTAAGAAGTGTGTGTTGTGGGTGGCTGGAAGGGGAAACCAAGGCTCGGTGTCTCTTGCCTCTGTGCAGCTTGCCTTGTGCTTCAAGGATTGCCCGCCACCTCCTTCCCAGCACATGCCCACCTTTGACAGCCTCTCCTTCCCTTGCCCCAACCTGGTGTCCAATGGCCATGCTGGGTTGAACCACTGCAGATGCAGCCAAGCAGATTTGAAGGGCATCAGGTTGGGGGAGATGGCCTCACACACCCTTGTGTCACCTGCATGAACTTCACTTCTCTATGCTTGACACATGCTTTAAAAAGCCTCCCCCAAAGTCCCAGCCTCACCACAGTCAGAGCACTTAGAATAGAATTGTACCTGCTCCTGACCTCCTCGCTCACCAAAAATACACCATGGTTTCCTCCCCAGGTTGTGAGATACAGTGCATTCTTTGTCATTTGCCTCCAGTATATAGGCACACACTTGCTTTTATTTAATGTAAACCTCACAGTGGCTCTTCAATGCAGTTTTCTTCCTGCCAAGTTTCTTGTGGCCGTGTGGGCCAGCTCTAAACCAACATGGCATAGCTGGCCAGAAATATGTTCCAAGTTCTCATGAGCTAGGGTTCTGAGATGCTGAGTAATTCACAAGAAGATTGCATGTGCTCAGCATTTCCAAAAAAAGCAGCAACAATTGTTTTTCTTCCCCTTTTCTTTTTTCTTTTTTTCTTTTCGTCTCAGCTTTGAAAAAAACCCTTTGGGAGTAGGTGCCCATATATAAAGCTCTTAGGCCCAAACACTGGCTGTTGCAATTCAGTTTAACCATGGTCTTACTGAAAGTTTGTGGATCACATTTAGAATGTGAACTCCCTCAGCCTGGCATGGTTTTCAGTATTTTCAGTATTTGCTCCTTCCTCTGAGATAAAGGTCATAAATTCCTTATCGGTAAAGTAGGAAATAGTGGCTTTCCTACCTATATTGAGTAGACTTTTTAAGTTACCTGTCAAGTTGTCAATGGTTTGTAGAAATCAGTCTTGCTAACAGCAGCCAGCATCAACAATAAGAGAAAACATGCCTAATTTGCCCCCAAGCATTGTCTAAAAGAAGTCCTGCAAAGGTGCAACGTTTTAATGAAATCTTAGATGAACAACTTGAGCAACTGCACTAACAAAACTACAGGCAACTAAAACTGTGCCAAAGGGTGCTGCTAATGATGCTGTGCTGGGATCCTTCCACTGGTCAATCTTAAGAGCTCTGCTGCAGAGCTGTGCAGAACCCTGTTAATAAACCAATTACGTTGCCATCATCTGTGAGTTCAGCAATCAGTGTTCAACAGGCAACCCAGATAACATTAGAAATATTCTTCCGTTGCCACACATCCGTAAGTAAAACAGAGCATGCAATTAGGAAGATAGGCGTTAAAAGACCTTCCCCACGGAGGCTGGCCAGTGGCTATGAAGATGCAGGGATCATATTTGCCCACAATTTGCTGGGCCTGGGTCCTGCAGCTTCAGCATAGTGTTTAGCCTTCTGTCTCAAGAATATGTGGATTTACATTCTTTTCAGTAAACAATGCTTTTGCTCTCTGTTCTTTCATGTTTGGACCAGATGAAGCTAGAACAGAAGCCAAAACCTTATGCATTAGTTAAGGATGAATGGCACCACACCTGTCTCCTGTTCCATGGAAAAAAGCATTCTGAAAACAAACAATATCAACAGGGCAACAACTCAACAGCACCAGTAAAAACAGCACAAATGGGAGAGATGAAGCACGATCACCACTGTGTGTACCAGGACTCTCATAACTCACCCACCTCACTGTTTTTTTGGTTTTTTTTACTATTTGTTTGTTTGTTATTTCCTCTACAAGATAACATTATCAAAGCAACAATGGGATCACATATTAAGCAAATTCAAAACCTGAAACAGGCTAAGATCTAAATCCAGAAAAAAAAGGATCGAAATGGACTGATGCTCAGGTAAATATAGCTTTTACAATAGGTACAATTAATGACAATTCCAGTTTAAATGCAACAAACAAAGCCACAAATTTGGCACTGTGTGCAGGATTATTGATCATAGGCCATGGGCAAGATTATACAGGGATGGAATATAAGGGGGTGCCCTATGCTATATCAGACCATTGGCCCATCTGGCCCAATACTGTTGACACTGACTGGCAGCAGCTCTTCGCAGTTTCGAGCACAATTCCTTCCAAGCCTTGCATGGAGATGCCATGGTTTGAACTGGCAACCAATTGTATCAAAGCATCTCCTCTAGGATGGGGCAAGGTGAGTGACCACTTGGGCAGCGGTGACAAAAAATAGCCATGTGGGAGCTCCCAGGGCACCAGGGAGTTCCAGGGGCAGCACCACTAAATGTGTGT